CGGCCTGCTTGATTTAACAATAAACCAGACTATGTATTTACACCCACAGATTGGTCTCAACCATATATAATCATGGTTCAACCCGGAGGGTAGTGATCTGTGTGCAGCCACGTAGTTACGTAAGGTTATTAACGAGCTATTGCCCGTTGTTGCCCATGGAACGCTTGAACCAAGTTTCAGTTATGCCTGTGTCCACACAATACATGCATCGCAGAACCACCGAAATAAAGTGCACATGCATGTCTGCAATAGCACGAACTTGTTACCAAACCACCGTGAGTCCATATACAAAAGTTTGTGTTCACTATTTACCGACGACTGTATGTTTTCCCACACTGTTTCCACATGTATGTGTCTTTCATGCGACCATATTTTTCATTTGTTACCTCACATTGATGCTGTTTTTTTATATTTCAGGCCGGTGTTTTTGCCTTAGTGGACTAGATTTTCTTGCTCCTTGCAGACCAGGGCGTATGATGGCGGACTCTGGTCAAGCAACCATTCTATCAAACCAAAGTGTGCTTATGTCATCCACAGATATGCCTACTGCCGCTATAGATAAAGGTAAGACTAGTGTCACAGTATTCATTGATACATATGCTACTTTGTACTTATCTGATGGGAAGGCACATGGCTGCGAAGAGGCCTGTTGGAGTCTGCTAGGATCAGCTCGAATTGCACGGGTTTAGGAATACTGGTACGATTATTGCGCATTAAGGAAGCCTTTGAACCAAAACGAATAGATAACAGCACATGATAGTGATTCGTGCGATGATCGCTTTGGCCTTTAGTATACTTACCTACGATGTAGAATGTACAAAATGATGCACGCACGAAAGCTGCTGAGCTACTGGTTTCTGGCATTATGATTTTAAACTTTTTATGCTGACATTGGTCGACCTTCAGTTTGCCAGAATGTACTGATTAAACGACGCTAGTAGGCAAACGTTTGTTACGCTGTTAACACGCGCTCGGATGGGGGTCAAATTATTAACTCCCCCCCCCCGAAGTTTTTCCCAATGGCTTCTGCGCGGCGCGGCGTAGCCGCGCCCAATTTTTGCAGAGCTGTATGCAATTGAATAGCGATCGTTTGACATAAAAAATTAGATTTACCTTGTAAGGTCGCTGACCTATGGCAGGTCGAAGTCAGGCCATGTTCTCAGCGAAGTCCCTTTCTAGGGAATCGTTCAATCTAATGCAACAAGGGAGTGTTAGACGAAGTCATGCGTTTCTGAAATGCTTTCTTAGGGAACGCAAATCATAAGGTCGACATTTTATTTTAGGAGCATGCTGCCTAGCATAATCTTTGTTGCTTATTCAAATGCAAAACTCAGAGCAGTCTTGCATGATTTTGGTCACCATGACCTTCAAAAGGTCCAACAAGGTCACTGACCATAGGTGAGCTTGTGATCTTTTGCTTAGAAACAGTTATCTACGTTCTGGGGACACTCTGGAGACCAACCTGGAATTTGACCTTGTTTGACCTCATTTGACCCGAAGGACATGACCTAGGAACCTCAAACCTTGGCTTGAGCGAGTTCACGTACGGGTCAAGATACCCTTTAAATTTTGTGTCTAGCTTTCCCGGTTCCCGAGATCTGAGGGAATCAAATTGACCCCCCACCCACCCGAGCGAAGGGTACCTGGCCGGGCACCCGGGCGCGTGTTAACACGCGCTCGGCTGGGGGGGGGGGTCAAATTGACCCCTCCCCCGAAGGTTTTTCCAAATTTTTCATGGCTGTAGACAGTTGAATAGCAGATTGACTGGCATAAAAATTTGGATGTATCTTTTAAGGTCGCTGACCTATGGCAGGTCAGCAAGGCCATGGTTTCAGCGAGGGCCATTTCTAGGGAATCGTTCAATCTGATGTAACAACGGAGTGTTAAACTAAGCCTGAGAATCTCTGAGATGCTTCCTTAGGCAATACAAATGTTGAATGAGAGCATTACGTTGACCTTAGGTCAGGTGTGAAGGTCAGACCAAGGTCAAAACTGACCTGTTTTATTCCTCTATGGCTTGCTGTATGAGAAAGTTCTGTGGTGCTCATCTCGAATTTATTGATAGCGGGAACAGCATTATACATCTTCCACGAACTTCTTAGAGGTCAGAAAAGGTCATTGGCCTGCAATAACCCAGTTAGACATTTTGTTTTTGGACACATACTACCTAGCGTAATTTTTGTGGCTTATCCAAATGCAAAACTCAGAGCAGTCTTGCATGATTTTGGTCACTGTCACCTTCAAAAGATCAAACAAGGTCACGGACCTTAAATGATCGCGTGACCCTTTGCTTAGAAACATTTAGCTAGGTTCTGGGGGCACTTCGTGACCGTGACCTTAAAACTGTGACCTAAGTGTTTTCACGTACAGGTCAACACACCCTGTAACTTTCGTGCCTCTCGCTTTCTTGGTTCCCGAGATGTTAGGGGGGTCAAATTGACACGCACCCCATCCGAGCGAAGGGTGCCTAGGCGGCCACTCGGGTGCGTGTTAACACGTAGTTTTATGACATAGCATACGTTCGCTTGATAACGTCGTTTAATCAGTATCTCCCTGTATATCGCAGTCCAATATTTGCCAATATGCGTGCAAAATGGATTTAGACGCGCTTGCTTGTTACGAGTGTATGTCAGCCTTCAGCCTCATGATTCGTACCACGTATGCACAAACCCGACAAAATAACGAATTCCGTAGCATTTCATGTCGTACGCATGTGTCGAACCAAGCTAAAAACAACCAGCAAAAGGTGTAGCCCATCCTACCCAATAATCAACATGCACTTAGGCTTGGACAGCCTGGATACTCTACGTAGTCGAAGTTCGTCAAGCTATGGTAGACCGTCGACACTCCTGCGGGACCATAATGCGTAACTTCAGGCGCTAATGGTAGTCTCTGGAGTGGTCACGTGCTTTTGGTGCGCTACATGCGCCCTGGAATGCCTGTCAGAATGTGGCATGCGCTGATGGTGGTCTCTTATAGTTGTCACGTGCTCGCGGTGCTTAATACGCGCCTAGAACAGCCCGTCAGAATGATGCATACGCTAGAAGAGAGAACGAAGTTTTCCCCCCGCTCTAAATTGCTCTCGGTAAAGCTAGAACCGCAAAACCTGCTGAGAACAGTGTCTGAATGATTTCTTGAATGCGTGATCACTGTAGCCTATAGAACAAAAAAGTATATAGTTGAGCAAGGTTAGCTATCGAAAATTCATGTCAGTCAGCATTAACAAATGGATATTGAATACTGAGGTCATCGGCACTTTTGCGTGGGTCCAACAATAAACAGTTGATGGCGCAACGAGTGAAGCTTGAACATTACGGCATATCCATGGCGTAATTGCTGACAGACGAGGTCAAGCAAGGTCAAACGGAGTACTGATGTTTGCCATAAGATGTAGGATAAAGTGGGCCTATCGAAGTCGCTGATTTCCTGGCACAGCTCTTCTTAATGGAGGGCGAACTTTGCTGGATGCCCAATCACACTTCTGAGTTCACAGACGTGTGGAATGCTCCCGGTCGGGGATCTGTTTCACCTCCAAGTCGTGTCCTTCCGTGAACGGTGGCTCCATGGCTCGGCGAACAGATACTCCGTGTTGTGGTGAGGCCGTAGGTGCGAGGGCTGGAGCGAGGGGGCACTCATTAGCCAACCGTTTTTGTATGGACGGCAGCATATATAGACACTGTTCGGGCAGCGCATATTTCCACTGGACAGTGGCGGACCAGCGCCGGGTCACGAGCGCTGGTTCGCTTGGACAGTGGCGGACCAGCGCCGGGTCACGAGCGCTGGTTCGTCGACTGGTTCACTGAGGCGGCCGCCTGGTCAGTGATCGCGGTAAACCTTCGTTCCAACTTTGCCGGGATGACAGGAAAGCAGTCGCCGAACAATTTACTTTATCTTTGGTTTATTGGCGTCTTTTTCTTTCGTTGGAAGATCCACCAAAAGTCCTTTGCAGGCACATGTAATTCATATCCTATTTAAAAACGAAAATGTGGGACGGATTTTGCCTCTCTATCTCCGTGCGCGTTAAAAATAAAGATAACGGTGGTTTTGATAGCACTCAATCTGACTGACAGCATTCTCGTATTGTACAAATATAGCCATTACTTTGCTGCCCTCGAAAGCGGTTTTACCTCTCCTATAGTCACCGGTACGTACCATTTTCGGGTGCAGTTTTTGACGTACCGCACCCGAAAATGGGTGCAGTGGAAAAATATATAATATGATATATAATAGATATGTATGTGTTCAACAAAAATGTACATAATATCTCAAGAATAAGTAAAAGGCTACATTCAACAAGCATCGCTAGCTAAAAAGCGGTCCGATGTTTGTCAAATGTCGCCTTGTTCCATTGTGTGAGAATGTAATGTAATGCCATACTCGTCAGTATCGAAACGTTGACGCATCGGCATAAACGATAGGGACTGCTGCTCTAACCATAATTTGTTTATAAAAATAGGCCTTGTATATATGCATATATATACATATATATATATATATATATATATATATATATATATATATATATATCCTATTTAATATATTATATATATATATTATATATATATATATATATATCCTATTTAATATATTATATATATATTATATATATATATATATATATATATATATATATATATATATTAACTATTTTGAATAAACCCTACATATGACGGCACTACTCTGAGGCGAATTTAGTCATTACTCAGATGTTGAGGAAGTTTTGAACAAGCCGGAGATGGACTGCGGATGTTTGGCCGCAGCCCCTCATGATCGGGAAGGAGCATGTTAAACGAAAAATGTGTTTATTGGGTTTTTTAAATGTCAAACTAGAAAAAATACGCGAGGACTCCATTTTACTTGCACGCCCAACGTAAAGCCCGCAGCCATTATGATAACTTGTTGAAACACATGACCACAGCACTGTGTGCGTGTGCGTGTGCGTGTGCGTGTGCGTGTGCGTGTGCGTGTGTGTGTGTGTGCGTGCGTGCGTGCGTGCGTGCGTGCGTGCGTGCGTGCGTGTGTGTGTGTGTTTCATTCGCCTGCTAACATGTCGCTGTTGCAGCCACTGGGGACAACAGCAGCAGCAGCATCATGCCACAGGCGCCCTTCGTGAATGCCACCCAGCTGAATGGCACGTTTAACCACATTAGCCCGGGGGCACTGCTGCGGGGCTCAATCGTCTTCGGCTTCCTCTGCATCATGGTTGTCGTGTACATCACTTTCAGAGCGTGCAGGTGAGGATGGTTGGATGCTGCTGCTACGGGCAAGACAGTGTGTCGTGAACGATAGGGCACATATCGTGGGTCTGCCGTTATCGTTATCAGGCTGGTTTTATCACTATTGTATCACATTCAGTGTGGCCGGTTTCCGTTTTAGGTGTTTAGGTCAGCCAAGCCATAGCTCTCTACTGGCTAATATTTTTGCAACGGCCCGTTATATATACAGCAGCGCGTTGACAAAAAAAAAACCGTAGCCCTGTTTATTTACGGCATTTATGTAACCTAATCACACATTGGATGCAACATCTGGCAACACATCAGCATGACTTGGTGCAGGCGGCGTGTGTGGGGCTGCACATGTTACAGGTCATGGCGAACCTCCACTGGTGTGCGTTCGGTGTCGTCACACCTGGAGTGCTCTAACTCTATCAAATCGAAGACGGTCATGCGCGTGCGAGGCGCGAGGTGTTTATAAGTGCTTTCAACTTTCGCGGTCTGCGAGCTTTTATTTCGGGGCTGCTTTGTACGGATTCTTACATGAGTCCATCATGCTAGTATTGGTGAGGAACACAATAAGGGGAACTATTTGTCCAGCTTTCTGCTTGAAGCTTGTGGTCAGTTATGGGTGTTGAGTGTAGGATGGTTCTGTTCATTGTATTCTGAAATTGTCCTGTGTGCGGCTTCGAAGCACTTGATTATCTGTTGGGTTTTATTGCCGTTGTCCTTACCCAGATAAGGTATGACGTCCCGAAACGTATGAACTAATCATAGCCACACATTTTTATCATGAGAGTCATCGACTTAACTTCGAATGTGTATTGCCCATGGAACTCGGCTTTGCGTAAGTAACAAGTAACAAGTGATCATGGATTCGGTGACATTCTCAACAAACCTGTCACTGCTGTGTGTGCTCCGGCTCGACACTCATACAAAAGTCTCACGAGCACCTGGTGCTGTGGCCACCTGAGGGTCGCAACGTGCCACCCCGCTCCACCGGCGCCTCTCCGTGCTCCGGTCCCGCCCCGCCGTTGCTGCTCCGTGCTCCGATCCCGCTCCACCGGCGCCGCTCCGTGCTCTGACCTGCTCCGCTGGCGCCGCTCCGCTCTCTGACCTGCTCCGCCGTCGCCGCCCCATGCTCTGATCCTGCTCCACCGTCGCCGCTCCGTGGTCTGATCCTGCTCTGCCGTCGCCGCTCCGTGGTGTGATCCTGCTCCACCATCGCCGCTCCGTGGTCTGATCCTGCTCCACCGTCGCCGCTCCGTGCTCTGATCCTGCTCCACCGTCGCCGCTCCGTGGTCTGATCCCGCTCCGCCGTCGCCGCTCCGTGCTCTGATCCCGCTCCGCCGTCGCCGCTCCGTGGTCTGATCCCGCTCCGCCGTCGCCGCACCGTGGTCTGATCCCGCTACGCTGTCGCCGCTCCGTGATCTGATCCCGCTCCGCCGTCGCCGCTCCGTGGTCTGATCCCGCTCCGCCGTCGCCGCACCGTGGTCTGATCCCGCTACGCTGTCGCCGCTCCGTGATCTGATCCCGCTCCGCCCTGTGCTGCGCTCAGGCTGCGTCGCAACCGCAAGTCGGCGCGCTACAACGTACTGTCGACGCGCGACGAGTCGGCGCCCCTGCACAGCGACGACGACGACGAGGAGACGGTGTTCGACGCCGCCGGGTCGCGGCGGTAGTGCCGCCGCTGGGGCGCAGCGACAGCGTCCGAGCCAGCCCGCCGCTGAACCGCGCGCTCGGCGACCGCCGGAGTTAGCGAGCGGGGGAGGGTGGAGGGAGGGGAAGTTCGGAGCATTACGTCGGTGTCGATTGGCTTTGGCCCTGTCGAGCCACTGACGGAGGCATTTGTGGGCGGTGCATGTGTCAGTATGAAATGGTGGAGTTGTTGATGCATGCGGCTGAGCTTGCCCCGTTCCCGCTTCTCGTTCTGAGTGGTGGGTTGAGAGTGACCGCAAAGCTATTTCAAGCTGATCAGAGCAGAGCATATGTGGTGTTATCTGTTGGGCAGTAACGCTGATTTTGTACTCCTGTGGCTGCTAGAAATCAACAAGTTAGTGATGTCCTTAACGCTTGGTGTGCTGACAATGGAAGAAAAGGGGGGTTGATTTTGAGCTTCTACGTCTAGTCATCAAAACCAGTCCCGACAGGTGTTCCTTGGCTAGATTGGTATGTCTCTGACATCTGTCATCTACTGCAATGCCCGTACGACCATCAGCGAAATCGAAATACGGTGTAAAGTCCTCGTAATTAAATGTGTTGTCATGTATTGTTTTTGCCTCACTGTTTGGGCATGTAAGCAGGCAGCTGAGTCTTGCTGTGTGGTATTGAAGCAGACTAGCAAGGCTTACTCATGCGGATTGTTGTTTATCAGTTTCGCAGCAACAAAATCTGGTTTGTCGCCCTGAACCGTGCAAAAGTATAGAAAAAGGCGTGTTACCTTCCAAGCATAATATTTCCCGCTGTTAACTAGTTCGGCATCTTTTGATGCCGGCGTTTAGCGTGACGTTGGCTGCACGAAACGGTGATCAAATGCCGCACGCAAGTTGGTTGGACAATGATTAGGTGTGTCTGGGGAGCGGCTGTACTATGCCCTAGCAAGAGCACGCTTAATGATAAACAGTTATCAAGCCAAAATGTTTGGGTGACGATAATTATGGTACAGTTGGTACCGCCGTGATTTCCTGCGTAGGTGATGCATTGTGAGATCCAGGCTGCGCGGTCATTCCAAGCATAATCACGCATCCTAGTGATTATTTAGTTAGCATGCGAGTTGTCTCGTTCAAATCGCTCAGCGCTCTTCTCGTTTTACATCAGATGTGTTTGACTTGGGATGAACATCCATACGTTGGTCAACAACACGACTGCGGTCGATCTAGTAGCCAGCCATGATAATCATGCCTCCGCCGACCTGCCGAACCCGTCCCTGCTCTTGGAGGAGGTTTGGATGGTGGACATTTAGTACCGTGTGTCCTCACCATCGAGTAGCAATGACCTGACTACTCGGCCATTGCTGTCCCGCTGACCTGGTGTGTCATGTGGAGGACTTGGTGAGACGGCTCTGGACCGTCCATGAAATCCGCGGAGGGGGTCGCGACACTGCGAAATCTCTTGAAAGAGTAGATGATTTGGTTGAATCAGATATATCATGGGTAATCCTTGACATGTGATATAGAAATTGCGGACCCATGCCGTTTGGGTATTGTCTTTGGCTAGGCTTTTCTCAAATTGCATCGTTCTTTTGAAACCCGTCATGTTAGACTACAAAGTGCAGTGTGTCTCGTTTTTCCTGTTTGTGCGTCGCTGTGCAAGCTGTTACAATGTGCGCCACGTCCACCCCAGATCCATGTTTCGTTGCGTGCGTTCTGTGAAGCCCATTCGAAGTGCTTTTATACGTTGGGGTCCTGTTGTATTCCCTGGTATTCCGCATGCCTTTTGTATCGCATAGACAAATCACAGAACCTTGTATTCAACAGGAGTTGCGACGGATCAGTGATATGATACTGTGACCTAACCATGAATATATTTTAGTATGTCAACTCTGCATGGTGTATTGTCGACTGCTGAGCCGTCATGGCATCAAAACGAAATGAAGAATCAGAGAAAGAGAATCGTGTGGAGCATTGCATGTTGTATCAACGGGGCCGACTATCAGAAATCTCTTCATGTTCTCCAGCTGCCTCGCGCAAAAAAATGCCTGCTTTTCTCATATAGTTGTAGGGTTTTCTGTTGTCAAGAAGCCCGCCTTGTGTGCAACGAGCGGTGGGTCGTACCCTGGGAACCTGAGGATCGCAGAATGAGGTGGCTTTAGATCTCCCCCCCCCCCTTCAGATTTCCATAATGACTTCACTACGCGCATGATAATGAAGCTTACCGCATTATATGTTTCACTGCTGCGGTAATTTGGGGACCCGGCATTTGAAAGACCAAAAAAGGGAAGATCAGGGATGTGATGTCGGTTGCATCTTCATACACGCAAAGGCGTATCTTTGCTCGTAAATGCGTATTGGAAAGTCCTCCATGGATGTGCTGTTTTGAAATCATCCCGCATGTGGCACCCGATGGTGCAATTTTGCAAAATCCATTCCGGTCAGCTCATCCTTGGTTGTTTGGTCACATGCTTCCAAATGAAACCTCTGAAGACCCTGTTGAACTTGGTATGGCCAGATGCGGTACACCGTGAGTCACGTTAATTCCCATTTGTGAGGAGTGCTATCCATTCCCGTTTTGTCATACGATGCTCCGTCTTTACTATGTCTGGTTGAAACTTTTATAAGCCGGTTTTGAGCCTTCGGCGTGTCACAAATCCGACGCACTAATTGCTGTCGGCGTGTCATCAGTCTGCGCAGGGCTGTAATGCCAGTTGTTTTTACTGCCATACAGCATGTCAGCACATGGTTGCAAAGACAAAAAGCCGAAAATTAGTTTTTTACCATAATGGCCCGGTATAACCGATCGCACGCCAACTGGCGTGGATGTTTAATGACGTTAACCCGACGCATATTCCCATGGCCTATCTAATGTCACTGTCCGTTGACCGTACCTCCTTCAGTTTTTGAGAACATGGGTGAGTCCGTAATGCCCAATGTACGACTCCTCAATAAAAACGTCCACCTGGGGATGGAAATTCATTTACGCTTCGTATTTTGCCGTTTCATTTCCAGTAGCAATGTGGCACTGAAGATACACGACAGTGATCGGTGGACCTTATCTGCTAATTGGGAGATGCAGCCGCATCGGCAGCATCTTAGAAAATTAATATTACGTATATGGCGTTACAAGGGAACACTGGACCCGAGAATATCTGTTTTCCCAAGATTTTTGGGAAACCTTTACTTCCGACGACAATAGGCATTCAGCACAGCAGACGGTACTGGTAAGCGGACGTAACACCGTACGGACGTAACACCGTAACACCCGGCCTGTTGACCAGCATCTTGCAAATTGAAGGCCAACAGCTGTCAATACGTATCCGTGGGTTCATCAGTGGAATTGCAAATACCGAAGAATCGAGACATTTGTACCATTCTTAATCGCCGGCTTTTACATTGCCGAGCATGAAGGCTAAAGAAAAGCGTCGGGCGTATGCATCGTGAGAGTGGCCGCCTAAGCGATCATTCCCTCCTGATCTGGGCCAGAGGTCGCTGCTAAGCCCGGCTGCCGCTCCGTCTGCGGCATCATCAGGGTCATGTTACCGATCTCCTCGAACAGCGGTGCCCACTGGGAGGCGGCGCGGTAGAAGACGGGCGGCTGGCCGAGCGGCGCGTCGACGGTGACCAGCGCCGGCCCGCTCCAGACGCGGCCCGACCAGAGGTGCACCCAGCGGTCGGCCGGCAGCCGCAGCTGGCGGCAGGTGACGCCGCTCCGGTACACCGGCGCCACCAGCAGGTCGCGGCCGTACAAGTACTGGTACGCCGTCTCGGCGCGGTACGGTACCAGCTCGTCCGGGTAGTGCAGGAAGGTGGGGCGCTGCAGCGGCGTGTGGTCCCTCCCGTACTCGGCGAGCGCGGCGCGCGTGTACGGCGCCAGCGCGGCGAACGCGCGCGACACGTGTGCGAAGAAGGCGAGCGTGCGCGCGCTCGAGTACCACTGCACGTTGCTGGCCGGCCGACTGCCCTCGTGGGTGCGCATGACGGGCGTGAAGAGGGCGTACTCGGCCGAGCGCAGCAGCAACTCCTCGGAGCGCCAGAAGAACGGCTGCTGCGTGGTGTAGCCGCCGATGTCGAAGTGGTTGAGACCGCAGCCGGTCACGGCCAGCGAGAGCGCCGACACCAACGTGGTGGCCACGCCGTCAGTCGTCGTCCAGTCAGTGTTCTGGTCGCCCGACCACGACATGGCCGCGTGCTGTGCCTGCTCGCCGTTGCCGGCGCGCACGAAGAAGAGCGTGTCGTTCTCACGGCCGGCGGCGATGACGGCGCGCCGGTTGGTACGGCCCCAGAGGCTCGGGTAGACGTTGTGCAGCGCGGCCGGCGAGCTGAGCGCCGCCGCGCCGCTCGACACCGCGTCGGCCGGCACGTACTCGCCGAAGTCGGCCATCCAGCCGGCCATGCCAAGGCCGAGCAGGTTGGTCTGAATCAGCTGCTGGTACCACGTGCCGGCCGCCTCGTTCAGCAGATCGACCGTGGCCGCCCGGAAGCCGCCGAAGTCGAGGACGTAGTCGTCCCCGGCGGTGTCCGTCAGGAAGTAACCCTTACCCGTGTTGTTGAGGTAGATGTCACCCTCGACGTTCAGGTGTGGATTGATGTAGGCGAGCACTTTGACGTCCTCCTTGTCCAGCGACTTGATGGCCTCGTCCAGACGCGGGTAGAGCGTCTCGTTCCAGCGCCAGTTCCAGAAGAGCCGCTGGCCGAAGGTGGTGTCCTGCCGGCCGGCCCAGTCCTGAATCCAGAGGCCGGCCACGCGGATGCCGGCCGTCTTGGCCTGCTCGTACCGCTGCAGCATGACGTCGGTGCCGCCCTGCACGCCGAGCACGACGCCGTCGGACGCCCAGTCCGGCAGCAGCTGGCGGCCCGTGTTGGTCCACTGCACCAGCTCCAGCGGGCCGGCGCCTACCGCCAGCCGCACCGACAGCGCGCCCACGCCCTGTGTGTAAAACTCGTGGTGGTCGGCCGCCGAGAAGTTAAGCGCGCCCAGCTCGCCGGCGCTGCTGTCGAAGTAGTAGCCGCGCGAGGAGAGGAAGCTCGCCTGCGGCCAGTAGGTGGTGTCGTAGCTGCCGCCGGCGCCGCCGTCCAGACTGATGATCCACGTCAGCGGGTTGGTCGGGTCACGCAGGATGCCCTGCTCGCGCGTCCAGATCGGGTAGTTGCGGCCGCGCAGGTTGAAGAACGTGTACTGCTCGCCGCCGCCGAACACGGTCTCGTCGCCCTGCGCGTGCAGCCGCAGCCACAGCCGGTTGTAGAGGTCGGGTCGCTCAGCGCCGCCGCCTACATCCACGGTATCCGTGGACTTGCTGAAGCGCAGGGTGACGCGGCTGTCGGCGCGGTCTGGCGCCCAGAGCGTGATGGCCGTGGCCACGTCCAGCTGCGTGACCTCGAACTGTGTCAGCGCCAGACGCTCGGTGGTTGTATCATTGATGATGAAGTTGCCGTCCGTCTCCCTGTACTGTGGTGGTGCCGGTTCCCAGGAATGCCGCCTCGTTTCCCGGGCTGTGGTCGATGAGCTGGAACAGAGGTGGATGAGCTGGCTTCAGGGATACTGGAAGTGGACAGACCACCATACACATTCGTTGTACGCTCCCATTCAGTGCATTGCCAATCACGCGGCCGTGGTTGAACCAGCTTTTACCACTTCCCATCCGTCTCCCTCTGGCTCTCCAGGTCTCCCTATTCCCGATTTCTCCGCTACGCGCATGAAAGCTTAGATCCATTTGTATGTTTTATTGTACGCTGCGTTACTGTCGTTTGTCGTCGAACTTCCCGTTTATCGCACGTCGGGCATATTTCACGCGCGCGTAGGTGAGGCTGTGCGCTCATAAAACGTAATTCCACGCCAACCCAAGCACTGTAAATGCAATTTTACGACGCACCATCTCAGCCCTGGACCAAATTGGTCAAGAAAACGGGGTTATGTCGGCAGTACAATGTTCTAACTGGCGTCATAAAGACAAGGTGAATTTTTGAAATTGTTGTTGGATTTCTATAAAAACTAAACTTTGCAGTTTGATGCACGATCGATTCACTCAAGCCTCGCTTTTCGGATTCACCGTTCAATTTATAGCGGAAGCCATCAGAATTGTGGCGACTCGCTATTCACTCGCTCGATGCGGATGCGATCGAAGCCGTTTGTGATAGCCGGGCGGACCGGTGCGGTGAGGCACGTTGCTCCCGACCGGCCGGCCCCCTGCGCCATCCCTTGCCACCGCCAGCCCTCTCCAGTGCTGGTCCAGAAAGACGTCTCTAGATAGCTGCATGGATTGTTTAAAAGATCATGCATTGCAGTTGTCAGCGTTCTCCCCCACACCCAACGGGATCAGTCGCCTCAGCTGTGGCTCACTTGGCAGCCTGAGCTTTGTCTCGGTGGACGACCTTACGTGCACAGTAATCATGAAGCGTCCACGTCTTTCGAAGGGGAGCATTTGCGTTAATCTGTTCCCAGGAGGTTTCAGGATACCTTCTGAGACCATGGACCTGCCTCGCTCGGACTCGTCGACCAAACTGGATCTTTCTCGATAATGTTCATCGAGCCTGCTCCCACAGCTGGACACGTCCAATATTCAGGGTCCGTCACAGCTGGATCCCATGCTCAGCTGTATTCGGTGGACTTGGACGGAACGTAAATCGCGGGCCCGGCCTTGTCCATGCTTTGGAAATAGGCCCCTAGAGCTCAGACCAACACGGAGCCGACTATTCGTCGCTCGTGGTCTCTGGCCGAATTAGAGGAACGCGTCGTCTCAAGGGTCCCTACCGGTGCAAGAGATGCTCTCACTGACGTTCAAGATCACAGCGCTAGTGGCTGGGTTGGCTGGGGTTAATGTAACCTACAGCCAGCCCTGCGGACCCTTTAACCTTCCAATCAGGCCCTCGATCTCTGGTCTCGAGAGACCCTTCGGCCCCTCTTTGGGCCTACTCAAACACTGCTCCGACTCGGGGTTACTTGCTGACACAGAACCCCTGTTAGGACTGTGGCCCCTAACCGACACAGGAGCCCCTCGTTGTGTCAAGGACCCCGATTATTGCAAATCACCGGCCCCGGCATCATTTCTGCTTAGGAAATGGGCCCCAAGGGCTCACACAGACATGGAGCCAACTGTTCGGTGTTCATGGTCTGACAGACTTAGACACTTACATCGTCTCAGGGGTTCCTCAACCTGTGCAAGAGAGCCTCTGACTGATATTTCAGGTCACGACCCCACGGGGTCCCGATTCTTTATATGACCCATAGCCAGACCTTCGTGCCCTTATATGCTCCAACCGGGCCTTTGATCGTCGGTTCCGGTGGCCGCCCGGGCCCCTCTTCGGGCTTTATCGAACATTTCCCTTGGTCGACTCCGTGCCCTTGCGGGCACAGGGCCCTCTGTTAGGCGCTATGAGCCCCCGACAGACACTAGGCCCTCGGCCAGTGCAAATCAGTGCAAGGTGCAAGGGCAGTGCAAGGTGGCCCAGTGCAAGGGCTCTCTGGACGTGATTTGAGGGTCCGTCTTCGCAGGTCTGGGGCTTCTGAATAAAACTTCAGCCAACCCTTTATGCTCTTAAACCCTCTAATTGGGCCTTTGATCATCGGACCAGGCAGGCTCAGTAGGCTTTTCGGGCCTCCTCGAACATTGCCTCTGGTCGATTCGGGGCCCCTTGTTAACACAGGGCCCCTGCTAGGTGCTGTGGAGCCCCGAGCAATGTAAATTGCTGGCTCATGCTTTGCCCTTGCTTGGAAAATGGGCCCTAGGGCCTGCGGCCATGCAATTCGCTTGAGAAATAGGCCCTTAGACCATGCCGGCACGCAGCCGGCTGTGCGTTCCTGGTGGGGTCTGACCAAAATATAGGCACTTACTGTCTCAGTAGGCCCCTGATCAGCGCGCAGGGCCCTCTGGCCGGCATTTGAGTGCCTGGCCCAGTTAGACGGGGCCCCTGAATAAGACCTACGGGCCCCTGAATGAGCCCTTCGAGCCCCCGAACCGGGCATTTAATCGTAGGTTCCGAGCGGTCCGAAGGGCCCCTCGTAACCTAAGGAGAGGGGCACATGTCATTTGTGTTCCTTCCCCTGCCCACGCTATTGCAGGGGCTACAAGGCTCAGAAGGGAACAGTAGGCAACAATATATCTTTGGATAAAAGATCGAACCACTTTTTGGTTGCTTTGCGTTTCAGGTCAAACGGGAGTGTTTAACGCAAACACAAATGTATTCCTTCCCTTTTGAAAGGCACGAACGCTTCATAATCACTTTGCACGTAGCATTGTCTATCTAGACAAAGCTCACAACGCCAAGTGAGCTAATGCTGAGACTACCGATGTTTATAGGTGCGGGGAAAAGGCTGACAACCGCAACGCTAACATGCTTCAAACAAGCTGCCCGAAGTCGCCGTTCTGGACCAGCATGGAAGGCTGACACCGCCGGTGGAATCGGCGCCGGTGAGGTCGGCCGGCAGGAGGCGGGGTGTGATAACCTGGAACTGAGTCCGCCTATGTGATCCAGGGACCGTCCGCGGCAACTGGCCGGGCCGGCCGGCGACACGGGAGATGTGGTGAGGAGACATGCGGAGGACCGGCAGGCACGCCAGTAAACCTACCACGGGGCCGGCCGGCGGCACGGGAGATGTGGTGAGGGCATGCGGAGGACCGGCAGGCACGCCAACAAACCTACCACGGGGCCGGCCGGCGGCACGGGAGATGTGGTGAGCAGGACATGCGGAGGACCAGCAGGCACGCCGACAAACCTACCACGGGGCCGGCCGGCCGCGCGGGATCGCCCGCTGCTCCGGCCCGTCCGGGTCCGATCGTATCCCCGCAGCACGGGTGTACAGCGGGCTCCAATGTTTTCTTAAGCTAACTATCTTGCGAGTTAAGCTCTGTATCTCTCCTTGACAATCTACGAGGTTCCGGCCCGGTAGCGCGCGCAAATACAAATACCGACCTCGCGTGCAGTCCTGGCGTGACGCGTGACGTTTGCATTCGGCTTTATCCGTACTTCAGGGCGACCAGATACTCAGGAGGGCTGAATTCAGGAATGCGTGCCCGGGCCCAGGCAGAGCCGTGCTCAGGCCCAGGCAGAGCCGTGCCTGGGCCCAGGCAGAGCCGTGCTCAGGCCCAGGCAGAGCCGTGCCTGGGCCAGGCAGAGCCGTGCTCAGGCCCAGGCAGAGCCGTGCCTGGGCCAGGCAGAGCCGTGCCTGGGTCCAGGCATCGCCATGCTCGGGCCCAGGCGAGCCGTGCTCAGCCCAGGCAGAGCCGCGCTCGGGCCCAGGCAGAGCCGTGCTCAGGCTCAGGCAGGCCGTGCTCGGGCCTAGCAGAGCCGTGCCTCGGGCCCAGGCAGAGCCGTGCCTGGGCCAGGCAGCCGTGCTCAGGCCCAGCAGAGCCGTGCCTGGCCAGGCAGAGCCGTGCTCAGGCCCAGGCAGACCGTGCCTGTGCCAGGCAGAGCCGTGCTCAGAGCTCAGGCAGGGCCGTGCTCGGGCCTAGGCAGAGCCGTGCTCGTGCCCGCCAGGCCACCTTGCCTGGGCCAGGCAAGCCGTGCTCAGCCCATGCGAGCGTGCCTAGTCCAGGCATCGCCATGCTCGGGCCCAGGCAGAGCCGTGCTCGGGCCTAGGCAGAGCCGTGCTCGGACCCAGGCAGAGCCGTGTCTGGGCCCAGGCAGAGCCGTGTCTGGGCAAAGGCAGAGCCGTGCCTGGGCCAGGCAGAGCCGTAACTGTTGAGAGTTGTCTCCATTCTGCCGCGCCTGGTGATTGCTCAGGCGACAGCGAGACGAGGTGATCACCGGCGAGCATCGCTTAATGCTATCTCAAACAGAAAATCGTGTCGTAGCCCATGACAGGGATTCTGGGAAAAGACTTGTGTCATAGAGCCGAAAGATTTGAGGTGACACGTATGGGACAGATTGACTTCACTAAACACGCATAATCCCTGACGATTTGTTTTCACCACATACCAGCCGCACAAAGGTTGAGTTCGTCACGGATTGGCCCACAAAGGAGACCAACATGCACTTTTCCAGATAATGTTTCATGCTTTCAACTGCTGAAAGTGTCATTTTCCAGCGAGGATGCAGGCCGAGCGAGCGTCACTTGAGCTCTGAGAAAGATGCCGACCTAATAGCTCAGTCCGACAATGGCGTTCTCAAAAGCCGACCTCTCTGTGGCCATTCTCGCGGTTGAATGCAGTTTCCAACATCATTTAGCGTAATTCCCTCATAAAGGCCTTTGCATGCAGGTTGTTTGATCCTTTGCGGATTACTTGTGGCCGTTGCCATGCCATTATTATTTCATATTTTACATTCATTTAGGGCGGAAAATGTAAACACTTCAAACTCTGGGTCAAAAAACGGGCCGAGATTTTGAGGACACAGCGTCACAGCGACGTAAGACCCCTGATTCTGACCCCTGATTCTGACCCCTGAGGGGAATACGTTTTCAAACGCCGACACGACCTCGTGCGAAAACCATGCGTCTGCCCGTTGTGTGTCGTTTTAAGTGGTAACAGATCTCAGGAGCCTGAGCACAGGGAGACGTGAGGCTGATAAGACCCTGTAGGCGGATGTGCCGAACAGCACAATAACAGATCGCAAAGCTCACCGACCGGCATGTGCAGCTATAATCGACCACGCAGCTACCAAACAGCTACCACCTTCTCCGAAGGCCACCTTGAATGCAAGACTCCGTGGCCTAAACCGAGAAATTGTGTCGTGTTGTACTGCAGTTCATCAGGTCATCCGCGTCATTGAGTTATTCTTAGACCTTGGTCAGCAGATACATCGATAGTCACAAGGCAACGAGCATAACACGACACGAAGAGGCACATGCAGTGGGTTCGGGTCACTTTAGGCGCTTGCTATTTGCCCATTACAAGGGTGGCCTGCGGCCGGTGGCAGCGGCCGCGCTAAAGGTCAGGTGACGTCAAGAGGCAGGACAGACCGTGCCGAGCATTGCGGTTCGTTAAACTTTCGCCACCAAATTCTGCCGTTGAACTGGAATTGCGCGATCGGATGATGGGGTCAAAGCTCACACAACAAGCACTGCTTAGCGTTAGCTCTGTTCCCAGACATCCATCCATTCAAAAGGTTCGGATAAAATATTTAAACAGAAATAAATAAGAAGTTAAAAATGTCAGGTATTTTGAGTAATATCCTGGACACGGGTCTTAAAAGTAGAAAAAGGCAAGTCCGCAACGTCGTTGCCGATGACACACTCGTCGTAAACACGCGCAGCTCGGTAGACATATGCTCGTTTTCCAGGGATGTTCTTGCGGCGAGAAAGAAATAAGTGACTAGATTGAGGCGCACTGCGCTTGGTGTTTTCTTGTTTGTAGGAGAGCTGAGAACATTAAGTCTCCGGTTTCCCGTATGTCAATGCTTTGTGTGAAAGGCATATATCGAAAAGTCAATAAGCTTTTGGGCACTAAGCCAAACTGTCGTGGAGCATCCGGCACATGGTCAAATCTACGGCGTCCGGCGATCACTCTGGCCGCGAAGTCAAACACTCTGTGATTTGGCAAAAGTCGTGCTGTTCGCACTCTCATAGACTGAAGCGCATTAACGGACACATTAGAACCCAAGGGGGTCAATGATGCGTGGCAGGACATTGGCAGGTAACGCGTGTTTGGCATTTAGGAGAACAACAAGAATGCCAAAACAATGCCTAGTGGCATGGCTCACGCGCAGATCCCAGGACAGGGCAGAATCCATGAGCATTCCTTATTTGTTTGACACTGTCTAAGCCTCGGATAGATTTGTCCATAAACCTGACGGTGGGTGACTCACGAATCTGGCTGAGTTGGCGCCTGTCTCCGCAAGGTAGAAGTTCCGTCTTGCCAGCGTTAGCATCATGTCATGTTGGAGAAACCACGTGCACACCGTGTCTAGGACCGTTTCCAAGGATTGCTGGGGATCTGGATTGCTGAGATTGCTGGAGATCTGGATTGCTGAGATTGCTGGAGATCTGGCAGCCTGCTGCATGGTTCAGTGGCGGCGATCTGCGTGTTGTCAGCGTAACGGACTACTGATCCACGGAAGCCGCTGATTTCGAGTGGTATGTGGCAAGTGAGGTCATTACTGGTTGTGCTGTATGGCAGAGGGCCGCGGCAGGAGCCAGATAACTCCCGAACCACCCGGTGCAAATCTGGAGCCACTGGAGCGTCGTAAGAAGGGTAGGGTGGTCCATCACATCAAAACAACGGCTTAGGTCTATGAGTGTAAGAAACGTCACTTCGGATCTGTTCATGCCATGCAAGATTTCGTCTGTAACAGTTAGAAGAGCGGTACATGTCGAGTGATGCTCCACGAATCCGTGCTGGTCTGCGCTAAAAAGGCCGTGGTGCTTCAGGAAAGATGTGAGCGGCTGGTGAGCGAGCCTTAGTACAATTTTGCATGTGACTGGAACCAGTGTAACGGGCCTAAAGTTTGATGCTGCAGTTGGGTCGTTCTTTTTCTGAAGTGGAATTACAACGGCACTTTTCCAGCTAGAGGAGTCCATTTCCGCGACAATGCTAGTATTGATGATGCAAAGTAAGGTTCGACCGATTACGCTGAAGCTGGGTTTCAAGAGGATAAGTGGTATGTTACTTTCCACGCTCGTTGATTTGTTTGGTAGTGGAAATAAGATCCGCCGAAGCTGATGAAGAGTAGTAAGCGCGATATGCATTGAACCCGTGTTGACACGAAGGAGACGAACGTGTAATTTTTCGTCACATTTGATGGAAGTCGGTAATGAATGACCTTATCCCGGGTCTCGGTGTCGATGGAGGTGAAAAGGCATTCCGTTTGTCCGGTGTGAGATTCACAAGTTGAATGGGTGGGCCCGTTTGGTTGCTATTACAGGCTATGGATGGCGTACAGCATCGATAGAGGTGCCCCATTTATGCGCTGCATGATTACATCTCGAAAGCACATTTTAACGGTTCGTTTTACCGCAATGTTCAGCTGCTTGTAGGCCCCAAGATCACCGCTGCTTGGCATCTCGGCGTCGGCTCATTAGTTCTTGTGTCTCGTCACTGACAGGAGGAGGTGATGGGTTTTGCATGGGAAAAGGCGCACAGGCGCGTGTCTGTCCTAAATGCGGCTCATTTCAATGGAAAAACGCTCCCGCTGTCGCTAGCACGCCTCGTCACGTGTAACAACTGGCCCCCAGCCCGCGCTGCGTATATCAGCCATGAAGTGCACAGAGTTTAAGACATGTCAGTCGCGCCCTGCTCAGAAAGTGGGTCTGACTCTAGCGCGTGAGATGGCAGTGGTGATGACAACGCGCCCTGCTCGGAGAGTGGGTCTGACTCTGGCGCGTGAGATGACGGTGGTGATGACAACGCGCCAGTGATGAGAGGTGCACATAGAGAGTGGGTCTGACTCTGGCGCGTGAGATGGCGGTAGTGATGACAGCGCGCCAGTGTTGAGAGGTGCATATTGAAAGTGGGTCTGACTCTGGCGCGTGAGATGGCAGTGGTGATGATAGCGCGCCAGGGATGAGAGATGTAGATAGAAAGCGGGTCTGTCTGACTGCCGCGTGAGATGGCGGTGGTGATGACAGCGCGCCAGTGATGAGAGGTGCATATTGAAAGTGGGTCTGACTCTGGCGCGTGAGATGGCGGTAGTGATGACAACGCGCAAGTGATGAGAGGTGCATATAGAGAGTGGGTCTGACTCTGGCGCGTGAGATGGCAGTGGCGATGGCAACGCGCCAGGTGATGAGAGGTGTATATAGAAAGTGGGTCTGACTCTGGCGCGTGAGATGGCGGTGGTGATGGCAAACGCGCCAGTGATGAGAGGTGTATATAGAAAGTGGGTCTGACTCATGGCGCGTGAGATGGCGGTGGTGATGGCAACGCGCCAGTGATGAGAGGGTGCATATGGATAGACCAGGCCCTGAAAGCTACGTGGGGCTGGAGCCCTGTTTACTGTAGCTCACATCCAATCCAAACAGTAACGCGTTCGCAAAGTTTGGGTCGCAACTGCCATGATCATTACCATTGAAAACTCATTGGTTTTCTTGACAAGCACGGACTGACTGCCATGCCTGGTCATAATCCTAGGTGCCAATTTTCAGGTGATGCTTTCTTGTGAATTTGCGTGTAAATGTGTTATTGATAGACCTCCATCTGTTCTCCCATGGAACTTTCTTGAAAGTC